CTGGTCTAGTGGAAGATGTCCCTGCCCATGGCAGGGGATTGGAACTGGATGATCTTTAAGGTCCCTTCCAACCCTAATCAGTGATGTAACTTACTTGGTCAGATTTCAGTTCCTCTCCCTGGAACGCTGAGGTTTGATCCTTCTGACAAAGAGTTGGAGCAGCTCTTTCCTAGAGAAGCTCCCCCAGAACAGGAGCTGTGCCACTGCTGCGCTGTGAGGCTGGGGGCAACCCTGGGCTGTGTTTGGAGAGCTGGCAGCTAACCTGTTAGACTGATTTGGGGCACTGATCCTTGGGGAATCCTGTTTGAATCATAGCAGTTGGTTATGAAATTACTTGGAATCAGTAATTCCAGAGTTTGGGTTTTTTTTTCTTAATTGCCGTTTATATGATGGGGAGCAGAGAAGTTTTGCAAACTGTTAGCAATGCAAACAGTACTGTGAAAGAGAACGTGTCTGATGATTAACACTGGAGTGAATTTATGCTACACAGTGGGGCTGTGAGTGCCTCAGGCTTTATAAATGAAGGGGGAAATCTCCGCTACTTTGGGTGCTGTGGGATGGGTCTGGACTTCCCTGCCCTATGAAATGGTTCTCAGTAGGAAGGAGGGAGGCTGATTCTGTAGGATGTTGAGTTGGATGAAGTTTCCTGTTGGCAGTTACAAGAGTGTTTATTTTAAAACATGGGGATCCTGAGCTGAAGCAAATTGCTTTCACACGAGTGCTCCTAAACATGTGTTTGGTTTGGATCCCTGCTCAAGGGTACCTGGGGTTCACTCAGTACATGGGGTTTGCCCCTCCTGTGGGTGGGGGGGCACTCTGTGCCATGCTGGACACTGGCTGCTCCCCAGGTACCGAAGTCTCCAGTGTCTGCGTGCAGCCTCCAGCTCAAGGGCACTTCTCTGCTGGCTGCCCAGCTCTCCTGGGCACAGGGAGGGGCACAGGCACGGCCAGTTCTCAGTGTGAGGCCCCTTGAGGAGCCCAGAACCAGGTGGCATAAGCTGCCGTGGTGTTGGTGTGTGCGGACGGGGAGCAGATGGCTGCGGTTGCCAGAGGAGATGACACGGAGGGGACTTGGGCCTGGTGTTCCCTTCGTAGCTGTCATACCCGCAGACTGCTCGGGCGGTGACAGCTGACCTGGGATCTCTCCTCCGTCCTCGCTATGAGGAATGCCAACCCTGCAGGCCGAGGGAGCGTCCCCTGGCAGCTGCACAGCTCTCTCCCAATTAAGCCAGTGACACCTGTGCGAGCCACCGAGAGGTGCTGGGTGCACCCGTGTCACCGGTTCACTGGTTTAATTGGAAGGTTGTCAGTGTCCCAGCTGTCACCAGGGATGAAGCAGGCCCCCTGCCCGCTCCCCTCCTGGCAGCCGCGGGAGGCAGCTCTGCTGGTGAGCCTGCTGCAATCTGGGGAACAGCAAAGCTCAAGCATCCAGGGATCCAGCAGATGGGACACTTGCGTGTGTCACTGATTCCCTGGAAAATGCTTCTCTTCCTGCAGAGCAGGCAGGCAAAGCACTTGCAGCACTGAAGTTCAGCGCTGAGGCGTTTTCCCATATGGGACTGCGTGTGCTAAATCCACAGCTGTTCCTCACTAGTGATCAATCGTGTAGTGAGAACGGCTCTGGGGCTGGGGTGCGTAAGTGTCTGCGGCTGTAACATACAGACTTGCTTAAACCACTGTGGGTACCTTAAAGCTACTGCGAATTTCACTGTGTTTTTTAGTGTAAATTTGGAGCCATGTAGCAGTGGGAGCGAGTTACCCAAGAAGTAACTGTTCCTCTCTGAAGGACTACTGAAAGGGACAGCATAGCTTCTCTAAGAGATGTTTTCTAGGTCCTGAAGGGAAACTGTATCAGGAGCCCTCCTCTTGCCTGCAGCTCCTGGGGGATACAACAGATACACAGAATAGCCCTGGGGTTTTTGTAAGTTAAGTGTTGAAAGGTAGAACCTCATTCACATTTTTCTGGTGGAAAAACTCAAAAAAGGCTGCCTGGAGAAATGAAAGGAGATGGAGAAGGCAGTGTAGGAGTGAGGCTGCCCTATCTGCAAACATATGAAGGTCTCCACCTCCCTCAGTTAAAAACAGCCGCAGCCATGCTCGTCACCAGAGCTTTGGGTTTGGCCGCTTGTGCTGTGGACTGCAGTAAGTAGGGGGGAAGCTGGAGACTGCAAAATATTTCTAGCTGATGATTGCTCACATCAGATAGAAATCCAGCACCTCTGTGTTCTGTTCTGCCAAGTGCCACGGCTGACTGAAAGGTCCTGTGGCTCTTTGCTGGCCTATGGAGGTGCCTCACCTGACCCCTGCTGACTCCAGCAGTTTGCTGCATTCCCTGCCTTGGCAGTCACTTTGGAGTGTCCAAACTGTTAGCAAGGGTGTGAGCATGGCTCTTCTGGAGCGCTGAGGGATTGCTCCCATAGGCTTGGTTGGTTGTTGGCTCTGGAACAACCCACAGGGAGAAGCGATGCTTTGTTACTACAGTGCTTTTTGTTGGTTTATTTTGTTTTACCAGAGAAATTCTGGGGTGGTTTTGGAAATGCAAGTTTGTATCAAATAAACTGTTTATAGTGTGGGGCTTTTGGAAATACAGAATGGATTAGGTGATAGGAAAATAGTGCAGTGAAAGCAGTATATTTTTTGAACGGAGGGAGTCTTCTGTCTTGATCATGCTTCTGTATAATACCTCAAAGCAGTAAAGGGCTAATATTGATGTGAGGTAACAGTCTAGGTTTGTTAGGCATGGAGGTAGTTACTAATGGCTGAGTACATAAAGCTGTGTTTAGGTATGTATCTAGTAACATGGGGACAGAAGTGACCAGTTGTACTGTGTTTAGGTTTGTAGGGATTTTATAGGATTTAGAGTTTTTGTCAGAGAAAAGAGTAAACGATGACTTCACTGTGTCTTGATGCTGTAAAGCCCTGAACTTCCATGTCCTCTGGGAGATACGTACACGCACCGGCGCGGGAGGCATCCCTCTGGGGGCTGCAGGGGTGTATCCCTGTGCGGCACCTGTCCTCACTCCCTGTGGTTGGAGCTGTTGGTAGGGGCCAGTCTCCGTTGGCACGTTCTGTGTTGGTGTGGTCAGCTTCGTGGTTTCTGATCACCAGCCACCTCTCTGTTCAGATCAGGCTTGTGCAACAGCAGCACTTTGTGATGTGTCATGTTCAACCTGTGCTGCTCCGTGGTGCATCTCAAGCTGGTAATTATTTGTCAGAAGAAATGCAGCTTAAAGCAAACACACTGAGATTTGCTTTCAGTGTGTCGTTTACAAAGATACCTTAACAGGAGTCACAGGCAAAGAGTTTTCCTTTCACCCAGTCAACCTGCAGTTACTAATTTGTAATCAGATTGCCATAGTTTTCTTCATTTGCTGACAGTTTAGCAATAGAAAGCCAGACTGCACCATGATGCTAGGAAGCAGGGAGTTGTGTTCTAAAGTACAGGAGTTTTTTCACTTACTGTAATTTGTAAGGAATAGCCATTTATCTTGCTTTTCCAACAGCTGAACGTTTTAATAATAAACATGATACAAGTATAATCTTGTATTGGTACTCTGTTGACCTTTTAAAAGTATTTAACTTCAGGACTCTGTATGTGACATAAGATTTATGTGAAGCAGAGGGGGAAAAATGACCTACTTGGTCAACCTGGCTCATTTTTCCTCTCCTACCTTTTACTCTGGTAGAATGTCAGGTATTTTTGAGCTTGAAATAAGCAGCTTCAAAACTGGGATGAAACTGTTACATGAGAGTGTTTGCTCTTCTCTTCATTGCTCCTTTAGCAAATGCCAAGCTCAGGCTGCCTCTAATTCACACTGGTGCATTCGAGAGAAGTGGTTGGTTTCCAGGAGCTCTCAGCTTCCGTATCAAGGGATGAAGTGAACATGGTAACAGCAGTAAAGTAACGTTCCTGTGGCAGCAGGAGCAGACGAGTTCTGCTGATCTGACTGGGAGGTGTTCTCATTTTGCAGTTTCTACTCCGATGAGGCGGTTTCTCAGGAACACTGAATGTATGTTGGACAAATGATAAAATACTTTTCCTTTGTGTACATCTTGGCTCTGAGTGATTCTTTAAGCTTTTTCCAGCTATGGAAGCTATGCAGTAGTTATGTTGTATAGAAGAATAAACCATAGCACAAA